TAGTAGTAGTAGTAGTAGTAGTAGTAGTAGTAGTAGTAGTAGTAGTAGTAGTAGTAGTAGTAGTAGTAGTAGTAGTAGTAGTAGTAGTAGTAGTAGTAGTAGTAGTAGTAGTAGTAGTAGTAGTAGTAGTAGTAGTAGTAGTAGTAGTAGTAGTAGTAGTAGTAGTAGTAGTAGTAGTAGTAGTAGTAGTAGTAGTAGTAGTAGTAGTAGTAGTAGTAGTAGTAGTAGTAGTAGTAGTAGTAGTAGTAGTAGTAGTAGTAGTAGTAGTAGTAGTAGTAGTAGTAGTAGTAGTAGTAGTAGTAGTAGTAGTAGTAGTAGTAGTAGTAGTAGTAGTAGTAGTAGTAGTAGTAGTAGTAGTAGTAGTAGTAGTAGTAGTAGTAGTAGTAGTAGTAGTAGTAGTAGTAGTAGTAGTAGTAGTAGTAGTAGTAGTAGTAGTAGTAGTAGTAGTAGTAGTAGTAGTAGTAGTAGTAGTAGTAGTAGTAGTAGTAGTAGTAGTAGTAGTAGTAGTAGTAGTAGTAGTAGTAGTAGTAGTAGTAGTAGTAGTAGTAGTAGTAGTAGTAGTAGTAGTAGTAGTAGTAGTAGTAGTAGTAGTAGTAGTAGTAGTAGTAGTAGTAGTAGTAGTAGTAGTAGTAGTAGTAGTAGTAGTAGTAGTAGTAGTAGTAGTAGTAGTAGTAGTAGTAGTAGTAGTAGTAGTAGTAGTAGTAGTAGTAGTAGTAGTAGTAGTAGTAGTAGTAGTAGTAGTAGTAGTAGTAGTAGTAGTAGTAGTAGTAGTAGTAGTAGTAGTAGTAGTAGTAGTAGTAGTAGTAGTAGTAGTAGTAGTAGTAGTAGTAGTAGTAGTAGTAGTAGTAGTAGTAGTAGTAGTAGTAGTAGTAGTAGTAGTAGTAGTAGTAGTAGTAGTAGTAGTAGTAGTAGTAGTAGTAGTAGTAGTAGTAGTAGTAGTAGTAGTAGTAGTAGTAGTAGTAGTAGTAGTAGTAGTAGTAGTAGTAGTAGTAGTAGTAGTAGTAGTAGTAGTAGTAGTAGTAGTAGTAGTAGTAGTAGTAGTAGTAGTAGTAGTAGTAGTAGTAGTAGTAGTAGTAGTAGTAGTAGTAGTAGTAGTAGTAGTAGTAGTAGTAGTAGTAGTAGTAGTAGTAGTAGTAGTAGTAGTAGTAGTAGTAGTAGTAGTAGTAGTAGTAGTAGTAGTAGTAGTAGTAGTAGTAGTAGTAGTAGTAGTAGTAGTAGTAGTAGTAGTAGTAGTAGTAGTAGTAGTAGTAGTAGTAGTAGTAGTAGTAGTAGTAGTAGTAGTAGTAGTAGTAGTAGTAGTAGTAGTAGTAGTAGTAGTAGTAGTAGTAGTAGTAGTAGTAGTAGTAGTAGTAGTAGTAGTAGTAGTAGTAGTAGTAGTAGTAGTAGTAGTAGTAGTAGTAGTAGTAGTAGTAGTAGTAGTAGTAGTAGTAGTAGTAGTAGTAGTAGTAGTAGTAGTAGTAGTAGTAGTAGTAGTAGTAGTAGTAGTAGTAGTAGTAGTAGTAGTAGTAGTAGTAGTAGTAGTAGTAGTAGTAGTAGTAGTAGTAGTAGTAGTAGTAGTAGTAGTAGTAGTAGTAGTAGTAGTAGTAGTAGTAGTAGTAGTAGTAGTAGTAGTAGTAGTAGTAGTAGTAGTAGTAGTAGTAGTAGTAGTAGTAGTAGTAGTAGTAGTAGTAGTAGTAGTAGTAGTAGTAGTAGTAGTAGTAGTAGTAGTAGTAGTAGTAGTAGTAGTAGTAGTAGTAGTAGTAGTAGTAGTAGTAGTAGTAGTAGTAGTAGTAGTAGTAGTAGTAGTAGTAGTAGTAGTAGTAGTAGTAGTAGTAGTAGTAGTAGTAGTAGTAGTAGTAGTAGTAGTAGTAGTAGTAGTAGTAGTAGTAGTAGTAGTAGTAGTAGTAGTAGTAGTAGTAGTAGTAGTAGTAGTAGTAGTAGTAGTAGTAGTAGTAGTAGTAGTAGTAGTAGTAGTAGTAGTAGTAGTAGTAGTAGTAGTAGTAGTAGTAGTAGTAGTAGTAGTAGTAGTAGTAGTAGTAGTAGTAGTAGTAGTAGTAGTAGTAGTAGTAGTAGTAGTAGTAGTAGTAGTAGTAGTAGTAGTAGTAGTAGTAGTAGTAGTAGTAGTAGTAGTAGTAGTAGTAGTAGTAGTAGTAGTAGTAGTAGTAGTAGTAGTAGTAGTAGTAGTAGTAGTAGTAGTAGTAGTAGTAGTAGTAGTAGTAGTAGTAGTAGTAGTAGTAGTAGTAGTAGTAGTAGTAGTAGTAGTAGTAGTAGTAGTAGTAGTAGTAGTAGTAGTAGTAGTAGTAGTAGTAGTAGTAGTAGTAGTAGTAGTAGTAGTAGTAGTAGTAGTAGTAGTAGTAGTAGTAGTAGTAGTAGTAGTAGTAGTAGTAGTAGTAGTAGTAGTAGTAGTAGTAGTAGTAGTAGTAGTAGTAGTAGTAGTAGTAGTAGTAGTAGTAGTAGTAGTAGTAGTAGTAGTAGTAGTAGTAGTAGTAGTAGTAGTAGTAGTAGTAGTAGTAGTAGTAGTAGTAGTAGTAGTAGTAGTAGTAGTAGTAGTAGTAGTATTAGTAGTAGTAGTAGTAGTAGTAGTAGGTGTATGTATGTATGTATGTATGTATGTATGTATGTATGTATGTATGTATGTATGTATGTATGTATGTATGTATGTATGTATGTATGTATGTATGTATGTATGTATGTATGTATGTATGTATGTATGTATGTATGTATGTATGTATGTATGTATGTATGTATGTATGTATGTATGTATGTATGTATGTATATACATATAGAGTAGTGTTCCTGTCAGGACATTCAAAAACGGACCTCCGTACGGACCTCAGCATTTGGGCCCCTTCCGAGTGGAATTTTTTTATGAATTTTTTTGAGCATGTTCTTCATCAAGTCTAGTTTACCCATACCAAATTTCAGCTAAACATTCCATCAGAAAGGCAGTCAAATGATTTTTTGAAGTTAACTGCGCACTTTATATACATATAAAATGCAGTTAACTTCCAAAAATTATTTGACTGCCTTCCTAATGGAGTTTTTAGCTGAAATTTGGTATGGGTAAACTAGACTTGATGAAGAACATGCTCAAAAAATTTCATCAAAAAACTTCACCGGGAAGGGGCCCAAACGGCGAGGTCCGTACGGAGGTCCGTTTTTGGAGGTCCTGGCATGAACTTTCCTCTATACATACATACATACATACATACATACATACATACATATATATTGAGTAATAATAATGCATATAGATAATAATGCAATAGAATTGCAAATTGAGAACCTCAATATAATGGCTGACATGACTCCCATAACCTGTTCAAATTTATGAACTCCATCTTGAGCCATTTCACTTAGAAGCTTGTGGATAAGCTGAGTGTCATGCTTCTTGTGTAAGAGGAAAATAGCTTTATGTTCAGGTATCTTTAACTGAATTTGATATCGGCCACCATGAACTCCGTCCTCTTCCCCTCGCCATCGCCATCGCCCTGAAACAGATTCGAATAGGTTTGAACAGCCGAAACCACTTCAGTGACAATTTGAAATTTCTGATATCCGTCTTGTGCCATTTCCATGGCACTAGGCTTGTCTGCTTGAGTTCGGTGTTTTTCGTGCAACAGAACTACCGCCTTGTTCTCGGGAATATTTTTTCTGAATTTCATACTCACCGCAAGCTTCTTTCTGGATATTATTTTGAACGCTATTTGAGTCTATTTTAACATTTTGAGGCCGTATATATATATATATATATATATATATATATATATATATATATATATATATATATATATATATATATATATATATATATAGGGGTGAGATCACATACTAACCATTCCTCCCATGCTAACCTACAAACTATCAAAAACGGTGCATCTTTACATTATTTGTACTGCATATTGAAGTTCAAAGTGTTGCATATTATTTGTACTGCATATTAAAGTTCAAATACAGCTTTCCGTAATCATGAGTGTTAAACAAGCAGTAAAACCGGCGAGGTGGGACAAATACTTTAAGATGTCCCCCTCAGCCCGAATCGGGCGATCGGGGTGTATAAATGGGCCAAACAGACCCTTAACAACCTACCCGTAATCATGAGTGTTAAACAAGCAGTAAAACCATTACCGGAATTGGCTCGGATACCATGTTAAGACCTGAGGTTCCATCCTAAAAGGTCAGCCTCATTGGAGGAGTATCCCGAAGCCTTATATAATGTTTTATGTTTTATAGCTTTTCGGTGTGGGACAAATACTTTAACAGGCCCCCTCAACCTGAACCATATTGGACAATATTGGGGTGTATAAATGGGAAAAACAGACTCTTAACAAGCTACTTGTAATCATGGATGCTAAACAAGCAGTCAAACCACAACCGGAATTTGCTCTGATACCATGTTAAGTGATCGGTTTGAACTTGAAACTATACAAGTGCCGATATAGTAATAAAATACTGGTAAATACCGGGTCAATCCACAGGGAAATGGTTGATGTTATAAAGTCAAGTATTGAATGCAAGGAATATAAATGATATAATTTTTCAGGAACTTTACTCTTTGAGATTGGTTCAAACAAGAATGAGAATTACTAAGACAATCGAGATTCACATAAATGCTTTAATAGTTATTTAATAATAGTTCTTCCCCAATAATTATGAATACGATGTCGCTAATATATTCTCAACTCCGGTTAAGGCAGCGAGAGCGTGGTTTTCGTTACGTGTAAGTCCCGTTACGGTTTACAGTCATCTACCAAAAACCCCGTTGAATATCAAGACATCACACCCGTATCATATAAGACCTGATATATTTCTATTCTCAGTACTATATATGTTTATCCTTTAATGTTCATAGTTTAGACTTCAACGTTAATTGCAAGCATAAACTAAATTTAACATACTTCTATGTTGTACACCATAGTCATAAACAATCAAAATATAAAGGATAATTGTCACGCCCCGGACCTCCCCGGACACGTCAACAACCCGCCGTACAATACGAATAGTCAACCGCAGTCCAACACATTCATATTATACAAGGCGTCTTGAATATCATTCACACACATAACATCCATAAACAAACATAATAAGTAATTCATAACGCAGCGGAAAACATTGTTTAAAACAAAAGAGCCACACAGGGCTATTCATGAGCACGCAGGCTCTATAGTAAAATATCCATGAGCAAATTCATTAATGTTTCAAATAGAATGGAGGAAGCACGAACCAAGTCTTCTCTCCGAGGGATCACTCGATCAACGAGCACAGGATGCAAGCTCTAGCCTCAACCTGAAATGGTGGTGGGACGCCCCCGAAGGGGTCAGTACTCTATACGGCTATAAAGTACTGGTGTGGCAGGCATCTAATAGATATACAACAAGTATTTCAAACACAAGACCCTCAATTAGGGTGATAGTACATTATGATTTGTAACCCTAAGTTACCCCATTTGAAAATATACTTACTTTATGTAAAAGTCAAGTAGTCGGCCTGTGGGCCCATGTTCATTTAGAAATCACCATTCCCATTCCCCGTGGCTATAAGCCACGACAACTCATAGAGTCTAACCGTAACACATGACATTGTATTCTAGAGCTCGGCTCTACCACATCACCATACAATTCATGTCACTCGGGTCAATGTCCTTACCTTGCGTTCTAGAGCTCGGCTCTATCACATCACCACGCAAGCCCTAGAGCTCGCCTCTAGCTATTCAATACATAGACTACACGTCTACTCCCTTACCATGCATCCTAGAGCTCGGCTCTATCACATCACCATGCATGAAGGTCCAATTCTTAAGCAACCCTATGCCTAGAATTGACATATCAATGAACTACCATGGGCCATCCTTAAAGACTTCCCACCACTTAACCTTAGTTTCATACTAAGTCATCATAGACACTTGAAGTATATTCAAGTGCACTTCCTACAATCCAATCCCTAGGATCAATTCCATCAACAATTTCCAATAATCACTAACTAGTATTTCAATACTATTAAGATTATTGTTATCATACAAATATGCTCATTATTTGTAATCCTCTACATATTTATAATTATGTAGCAGCAACTTAAGTATTCAATCTCAATACATAAACATTCATTTATGTATCCACATAACTCATGCATGAGTAAAATGCCTATTTCACTAAATAGTTCATTTATAACTCATTTAATCTCATTTTATTCATACATTCTCAAATCATTTCCAATTTCATTCTTTGGCAACTATATCCATATTTCATCATTATATAATCATCATAATCCATAAAAACTATGATTTAGGCATTTAGGTAATCCCATGCTTAACCTACAAGTTGTAACAATTAGATGTCAATCCTCACCTCAATTGAGCTTTAAACTTTCCCTTCTTGGTCCAATGGTCAAAGCTTTGGTCAAGGTGGATTTGGAACTGATTCCTTGCTCAAGTATGAGTGTTAAACAGCCTCTTCAAAGTGCTAGCTCAACCCCTAAACGTTGGTACGAAAACAGCCCCTAGAATGGGTGTTTTCCGGTTAACTCGTTTCCTAGTTTTCCAAGATTTGCTCTAGGTTAGTATCTAACCTTTACATCAATAAAATAACTTTATGGGGACATATTATACACTTTGATTAGTTTACAATAGTTCCACCAATCGTTCATATCATTTGGAAAATGAATGGAAAGGTTTTGGGGTTAACAACTCACTTTAGAAGAGTAGATCCGTTTCTGCGAGGTTGCGTTTTGCTCGGACTATTTGGAAGCCTTCCACTACTCCGATTTATGCAAACCAGACCTTCACGGATTCCTAGTCTTGAGATCTTTCTTTTGGTATCTCGCACGCCTTATTTGGATTTGTATAACTCGAGATATCAACCAAACAACTTCAGCACTCTCACTGCTCGAGTTTACAGACAGCAGTTCACTCCAGCTCGATTTGTGTATGATAGACTCTCTCCTCTCGAACAGAGACGACTCAAATATGAAACTACACTTCAAGGTCTATCCAAGGACACCTCATACACGTTATTTGGTTGAGTATAGCTCCTATAATGAGAGGAGACAAACATCACACCAATTTGTGCGAAAATAAGGATGGTGGCCCCAAAATTTGATTCCAATTGTGTCATGTGCAGTTCTTCTCCATGTGGTGCGGCCAAGGTGAGTCTTCTCACATATTTTCTTTGTCTTGCAGGTACTCAAGCCACATGGAATGCTCCCCAATTGATCTCAATCAATTTGAGGTCCAAAATGTCTACCAATACTTCCAAAAAAAATGGGAAGATGGGTCCTATTGTTTTATCTTTGTCAAAGATGTCTTTTTGTACTTATCCTAATTTATTTAGAACAAGTCAACTTATTACATCACATTATTGATCTCCAATATGTGTAGGCTCATCACAATAATTTACTTGATGGGTATCATAGAAGGAAAATCCTACTCCCATTATTTAGCCCAATAATGTCAAAGATGGGCTATAGGCATTTGTATTCCTCTCTAATCATTCTATCACTTATTTTGACATTTGTCATACATATTATTGGACTACTATCCGTGTGGGTCACTCCCGATTGGGTCTAGGATGCCATTCTCGAATACTTGCTATTTTTAGCAGGTTGGGCTCAAAATAACGTTTGGGCCGTCCGACCTTACTCGGATTGTCTTGAAAGATTATGTATCACTATTTAGATAATGTTGGGCTCTTTTATTTATTAATAAGACCCAAATAGTATTTGCATGCCCGACACTAATATACGAGTTCGAATAGTACAACAATCGATCATTAATTACGTAAAACATTAATCGTTTTACAATTGTTTGGGAATCAGAAATCCAATACATAAACTTTGAATTTTTAAATCAAATTTTCAAGGACGTTCGGGTGCGGTGTCACAATAATTCACAATTTATTGGTTTAGAACTTTTATCACACTTAGTGTGCATAGAGGTCTATCCCTAGCCTTAGCTAAGAAATTAGTCTCTAATGCTCATATTAATCAACATACAATATTGAAATGTAATGGAACATGAAATTACAAAGGAAATAATACCTAAACACCAATGATTTCGGAGGTTGAAGTTTCCTCCTCAAGAACTTGAAGAACAATAGCAAGAATAAATTATAAAAACTAGGAATTAAAGTATGGAAGGAAATAATTTTGTATGATGAATTGAGGGCTTTATATAGGCTAAAGAATGACATCTTTTGGCCTATTCGAGCCCAACAGTTCGGTATGGATGAAATATTTGATGAAATCATGAAGAAGATGAAGTTTTCCCATAAAAAAAATATGGAGCACGTCGCTGTGTTTTGTGCAGAATCCGACCTAACCGGCGCCAGTTTCAGACCTGACCGGCGCCGGTTCTTCTTTACGAATTGAAATTTCTGGAAAAATGACATACCCGGCGCCGGTTATAAGGGCAACCCGGCGCCGGTTAAGCTACTGGTTTAGGTCAGATCCTTTGTGCGAAAAACATAAGACCGGCTCCGATTTGGTGAAATTCTGGCGACGGTTTTGTCCTGGGATTTTGGGGATGTCCCGCTATGAATTTGGACATGGTTTCTTAACCAAAGTTGTAGATAATGAAGTCTTCTGTCCACCAAAACTTGAATGACGTGTTTCATTCATCCAATCAAAAGATATGGATAAAACAATGAGAGGTATGCATCCTGAAATCCCACCAGCAACATCTGACTTTATTGGTTGATTGAGTCTTGTTCCTTTCATTTTTTTGCCATGACGTCTTCATAACATTTGTACCTTATTGAGTTAATATTCACATGAAGTTCGAATTGAGTGATTTTGAGTTCTCTACAATAAGTTATACTCGAATTATGGGCAGAACATCATCCTCATGGTCCAAAAATATGTTCACCACACTGTTTTATGCTTTAGCTCTCATTCTGAAGATATTTGTCTGATTTCTCTTCTTTTCTTCAACAAATACTTAGAAATACTTATGTTAAACATAAGTAAATATAATGGTTATCATTAAGACTTGAGGTTGACCTTTTAGGATGGAACCCCGAGTCTTAACTGTTCTCTTATCATTGTCAAGGTTAGTTAGTTCATTCCTTTTCCTAATCTTTATTTGTGAATGTTACCCGGCCAACACTCAAAATTCGAAATGATGGGCAGCATTAGGACAACTAGGTAAGGAAGTCTGTGAGTGAGCAAGCGATTGAGATTTTAATGTAGTTCTTCACAAATAAACACACACAGAATGAGTTGCAACGTGCTATGGCTTAACATATACTCCGTACTATTTAAGTTCATTATTCAAAGTGAAACACATGGAAGATGTATTTTTTGGTGGCATTTGTATACAAAAGTGAAAGTGAAATGCATTTGTTTTTCGCAAAAATATTGATTTTAGTTTCAAGTTAATCAAAATGTAATTGGTTTGATTTTTGCTCAATTTCTATGCAGAACATATATTTTTATGCCAGTCATTTAATTTTCATTAATTTCAACTAATAGTTATAGTATTATATTGTACCATTTGTTTACATACAAGTATATCAAAGTAAAAGTTTACAACAAATAAGGATACATGCCAATATTTAAAGTTGGCACATTATTAACTTTTATTGATATTTGGAGAAAAGAGATTTAATTCACATTTTAGTATTTCACCATACCTACAAATGGTTTGAAAAAGAAGATTCTTAAATTTGTTCATAAAAACACCTGTAAATAGATGATAAGAAGTCTCTTGAGCTCTATACAGTATAGTTGTTGTTTGCGTTATAATTTTAATGACTACACATGTCATACAGTAAGGAAAATGGACCATTAATATTATTCAAATTTATAATTTGGATGTAGGCTATTTTGGTCTTGATCAAAGTCTAATAACCCCATCTTATGGCGGTATGTTGAATTATATCTTTTTGTTTGATCAGTGACCAAGATGTAAACGAGAAATGTGATACTCAAAATTTCAAAGTGTCTTTAGGAGAAGTTCCTCTAATGGTCCATTTATGGCGCCTTGGTGGTTGTAGAGGTAAAAGTTCATTTAACACTTGGTTGATATTTTATAGTTGTAAAGAAGATGAAATGCTGGAGATGGTGTGGTTTATTTGATGCTGAAGTGAGTCATGTTTCCACACGTTGAATTGTGTAGCAGAGAGAAAATAGCTGAGTTGGAAATTACATTTTCTCTTTTACACATGATTTGATATAATGTGTGTTGTGACTCTTGAGATGTTGGAAATTACATTTTCTCTTTTACACAAAAATACCAAAATCTAAATTATTACTCAATACGGAGTATAATTTTGATTCAAGATAATTTTCTCTTTTAAACATGACCCACACAAAAATACTAATTTTGTCATGCAATTATTACTTTGGAAAAAGTAAAAATGAATACTCATGTATGTTTCAAGAATTATTTTACTATGCCACTTTCTAAAGCGCGCTATAATTTTTACTGATGGGAGTGTGATTTCGAAAAATAATTGACCTTGATAAATAAAGGGAAAACTGTCAGATTAGCCCTCGTAGTATATGAAAAAAATCAATTAGACCCTTGAACTAAGAAAACACTCAATTAAGTCCCCCAACTTCAGAAAAACACCCAATTACACCCTTTTCTCATATGAAGGTCCGGTTATCCGGTTGTATGTATGATGTGACAATCCACTTATTTTTTAATTTCTTTTTCTTTTTCTTTTCTTGTTTTACCATTCCTTCCTCTTTCCTCCTGCAACGTTCTTCTTCCGCCTTCTTCTGCGTGTTCTTCAATTCATTTCTTCATTTCCTTTCTTCCTTTCTTTTCTCTTATTCCTTCCTTTCTCTGAGTCTGAAAATTTGTCAACTAAGGATGAGCTTTGTGCACCAAAGGTGTAGAACACGAAAGCCAAAATGTCAACTTGTCCGCCAAGGATGGCAGCACGACGACGCCGTACGTGTGGAATTGAAGATGTTCACCGGATTTTTGAGCTCTTCGACCAATACACCATCCAAGCAAGAGGAGTAGAAGATGTATGCTGGAATTTAGTGCTTGTTAGTCAAGCTGCCATCGTTGCCGGCAGTGTACAAGACGTACGCCGGAATTTGAGGTCACTCTCGCCGTTGTTGTCCGCCTTATCGAGCTAATCCTCTTCGTCTCCGATGAAGATCGGAAGTTCGGCACCAATGACGCTCAGCAGGAAGGTGAATATCTCCTCCGCCTAAACCGCCCTCTTCACGTAATCTTTGCCGGAGTTCGTCATTTGAAGAAGAATGAAAATTACGGAGTATGAAACACAATGGTCAATGGAGTACAAGAAGAAAGAAAAGGGAAATAGAATATGTTATTTTTCAAAATAGATTATATGTTTGGTATACATCATTTATTGCCCTCTTCATACCAGACCACCAGTAACTTTCTTTCAAATCACGATACATTTTCGTGCCCCCCGGGTGCATGGCATAAACCGATGAATGAGCCTCCTCTAAGATGGACTTACGAAGCTCCTCATCTGACGGTACACACACTCGGTCACGAAATAACAAGAGACCATCATCTCTTTCCCTGAAATCCTCCACCGGTCCCGCTTGCATGCGTTCCCGGACCTTCATAAGTTCTGCGTCAGTCTCTTGAACCTTCTTGATCTCATCAAGTAAGGTCGGTCTCACTTCGAACCGTGCCAATAAGGCACCGTCGCTAGATACATCCAATTGGGCCCTCAGTGCCCTCAAAGTAGTCAACAATGCCCCAGACGAACTCTTCCGACTGAGGGCATCTGCTACAACGTTTGCCTTACCTGGATGGTACTCAATAACTAGATGGTAGTCCTTTATCAACTCCATCCACCGTCTCTGTCTCATGTTTAACTCTTTCTGAGTAAACACGTACTTCAAGCTCTTATGATCAGTATATATGTGGCATGTCTCTCCGTAGAGATAATGTCTCCAAATCTTCAGTGCAAACACTACTGCTCCCAGCTCCAGATCATGGGTAGGATAATTTACCTCATGCTTCTTCAACTGTCGTGAAGCATAGGCAATTACTCTCCCCTCCTGCATCAACACACACCCAAACCCTTGGATGCTCGCGTCACTATAGACATCGTACCCCACACCCTGTTTGGGTAATGCAAGTACAGGTGCCTCGGTCAATCTCTTCTTCAGTTCGATGAATCCTTTCTCACATTTGTCATCCCATATAAACTTTGCTCCCTTTCGAGTGAGCTTCGTCAACGGCGACGCCAAAACAGAGAACTTTTCCACGAACTTTCTGTAGTAGCCTGCCAATTCAAGGAAACTACGAATTTCCTTGACATTCTTTGGTCTCTCCCATTCGGTAATGGCCTCTATCTTCTTGTTATCAACAGCAATTCCCGATCCCGAAACCACATGCCCGAGAAAGCCAATTTCCTTTAGCCAAAATTCACATTTAGAAAATTTGGCATAAAGTTGCTTCTCCCGTAGTGTCTCAAGAACAAGTATCAAGTGCTCCTCGTGCTCTTCCTCACTCTTTGAGTAAATCAAGATGTCATCTATGAACACAATCACGAATCGATCCAAGTATTTATGGAATACTCGGTTCATCAAGTCCATGAATGCCGCTGGGGCGTTTGTTAACCCAAATGACATAACAAGGAACTCAAAATGCCCATACCTTGTGCGGAAGGCACTTTTTGGTATGTCATCTTCCTTAATCTTCAATTGATGGTACCCCGACCTCAAGTCAATCTTCGAAAATACGGTTGCTCCTCGTAGTTGATCAAACAGGTCATCAATCCTAGGCAAAGGATACCTATTCTTGATTGTGACCTTGTTCAGTTGACGATAGTCGATGCACATTCGAAGTGTCCCATCCTTCTTTTTCACGAAAAGAACCGGTGCTCCCCACGGGGAGTGGCTTGGTCTAATGAAACCATTATCCAAAAGCTCTTACAATTGAGTTTTCAACTCGTTAAGTTCAGCGGGTGCCATACGGTATGGCGGTATGGAGATTGGTTTGGTACCAGGCTCGACCTCGATCACAAATTCAATCTCCCTATCAGGTGGAAGCCCCGGTAGGTCTTTAGGGAAGACATCCGGATACTTACAAACCACCCTCACGTCGTCGATGTTCGTTTCCTCTTTGGTTTTATCAACCACGTATGCCAGATATGCGTGGCATCCCTTCCTCATCATACTTCTCGCTCTCACGGCGGATATGATACAGCTATTTGATCTCCCTCGATCGCCCTCGAAGCGTAGGGTCTCCCCATCATTGCCTTCGAGTTCAAGAACCTTCGTGTAGCAATCTACCCTAGCATGGTTCCTTTCTAGCCAATCCATCCCTAGGATTGCATCAAATTCAATCATGCTCAGCGGTACGAAGTCACACGTCAAGGTTTGACCATTAACTTCCACCCCACAAGATGGATAGTAACAAGTTCTTTCCACGTCATCCCCTAGTGGTGTTGATACCACTAAGGTTTGCATCAATGGTGCGGATTGCACTTCCAATCTCTTGGTGAACGCTTCATTCACAAATGAACGTTGCGCCCCGGTATCGATAAGGATTCGCGCATCCTTCCCGTTAATCTTTAGTGTCCCTACATTCATGAACCATGTAAGACATCTTTCCTACCCTCCCTACTCATTTATAGAAGGTTACAATGTTCACACGCACGTTAGGGATCAAGAAAAGGTCCTAACGTCGCAAAACGGTGCGAAAAAATCGCACTTCGGCAATCTGGGTGCCAGGCACGGCGTGCCTGGGGTAGGCACGATCGTGCCTGGCTTGGGAAAAAACCTGGGCGCTACTGCCTTGGAGGCACGATCGTGCGTGCCTTAGGCACGATCGTGCCTGGGTCGGGGAAATGCGTAGGCAGACACTACCTTGCAGGCACGATCGTGCGTGCCTTGGGCACGATCGTGCCTGGGTTGGGGAAAAGCGTAGGCAGCTACTGCCTTGTAGGCACGATCGTGCGTGCCTTAGGCACGATCGTGCCTGGGCAAAAACAGCCCGAAATTGCCCGAAATCCTCCCGGTTCGACCCCAATGCTTCGTGCAATGATCCTAACAATTAGTAACATCAATTTATGGACTAATTAAGGATAAAACACAAGTATACGAGAGGCAATACCTGCAACGGAATCCGGGTTAGCTTGAGCGTCCGCCTCCGTCATCGCGTAGACCCTAGCCTGGGTCCTTCCTTGGTTCACGGATGGCGCGTTGCTCGTACTTGCTCCCTCATGTCCCCGGCTTGCTTGAGAAGCCCCGGTTTGATTCCGTGTACCCGTAGGACCACTGCTCGGTCCCGGTGTCCTTGCCCCACCCAATTGTGGGCAATGCGCCTTCAAATGCCCGACATCCCCGCATTGGAAACATCTAGGGGGGTCGCGACACTTACCGGAGTGGTTCTTCTTGCAATTGTTGCAACGGGTTACCACTGAGGCCTGTGACCTCGAGCCTTGCCCACTTGGGCCTTGGTTCCCCCTAGATGGTGGCGGTGGTGCCCGGAAAGATCCTCCTCCATGGTTCCCCTTTTTGTTGGAACCTTGGGAGCCATGACTCTCCCACTTTCTCTTTTTCGCCTCCTCGGCGTCTCTCTTCTTCCTCTCCTCCCACTGTTTTTCCCCGTTCAACCCTTGGTCGACTACTTGGGCAAACGTGTTGCTCTATCACGTATTTCCAAGTCCAGAGCATCCCAGAAGTGGTTCACCATCCGGTTCTCGTCACAGACATACTCCGGTATGAACTCCGCGAGCTCCCTGAATTTGTGTTCAAGTTGCCTCACCGTCATTTTGCCACCTTGGGTCAGGAGGGTATACTCCCTTCTCTTAGCGTTCACCTCAAAATCAGAATAGTACCGGGCAAAGAACTCCTGCCGGAAATTCTCCCAAGTCACAACATTGCCATACTTCCCCTTGGCTCCGTCCCACCATGTGGATGCCATCCCTTCAAGCAATCTTACCGCCACCCTTAGCTTGAATTCGGGGGTGAGTTGCATATCAAGGGCTGCTTCGTTCAACCTCTTGATCCATTCCGCGGCGACCGAGATGTCACCTGCTCCGTTGAAGGGTTTGCACCCCAAGTCTCGTGCCTCTTTGATATATTTGGAGATCCTTATGATCGGACCTCCATCACCCCGGCCCTCATGTGGTTCAATGTGGGCCCTAGAGTCGCCATGGCTTCTCCCTCTTGAAGCCCTGCCCGAAGGTTGCCCAGCCCGGCGCCTTCGGCGTTCCCTCCTCTCCTCACGCTCACGGTGGTACTGTTGAAGTAGTGCTTCAATCCGTGCTAAGGAGCCATTTTCCTCCTCATCACTTACATCATCATCATCCCCTTCATAAGGGGTCTCAACCGGTTCAGTTTCCGGTCGATAGGTCGAGTCCTCATAGGACCAGTAGGTTTCACTTTCCGTGTCGACATGACCGTCACTCACGGTCTGTGATCGGCCTCCACGGCCAGCTCCTCTAGATGCCCTAGAGGTTCTTCGACTGCCCTGTCCAGTCTCCACTGGTACACGACCAGTCGGATTTCTCCTAGTAATCTTGCCACCACGGTCCATTTCTGAAAGAAATTTGGAAAGAGTCGTTAGATTAGTATCAAATGTCAATTGACAGATCGGTACTTAAGACACTATTTGGCTCAAATTGCTGCCATACCAATTGCTAAGGGTACCGTCTTAACAATTAGAGACCTTGCAACTCAAGTACCAAAAGCTCTACAAGTACAAAACGTTTATGCTCATGGTTTTCAAAATTTATTTTGAAAAGAGATTTTTTTTTGAGACTTCGTTATGAAGTTTATGGACTAAGGTCTCTGATACCAACTTAATTGTCACGCCCCGGACCTCCCCGGACACGTCAACAACCCGCCGTACAATACGAATAGTCAACCGCAGTCCAACACATTCATATTATACAAGGCGTCTTGAATATCATTCACACACATAACATCCATAAACAAACATAATAAGTAATTCATAACGCAGCGGAAAACATTGTTTAAAACAAAAGAGCCACACAGGGCTATTCATGAGCACGCAGGCTCTATAGTAAAATATCCATGAGCAAATTCATTAATGTTTCAAATAGAATGGAGGAAGCACGAACCAAGTCTTCTCTCCGAGGGATCACTCGATCAACGAGCACAGGATGCAAGCTCTAGCCTCAACCTGAAATGGTGGTGGGACGCCCCCGAAGGGGTCAGTACTCTATACGGCTATAAAGTACTGGTGTGGCAGGCATCTAATAGATATACAACAAGTATTTCAAACACAAGACCCTCAATTAGGGTGATAGTACATTATGATTTGTAACCCTAAGTTACCCCATTTGAAAATATACTTACTTTATGTAAAAGTCAAGTAGTCGGCCTGTGGGCCCATGTTCATTTAGAAATCACCATTCCCATTCCCCGTGGCTATAAGCCACGACAACTCATAGAGTCTAACCGTAACACATGACATTGTATTCTAGAGCTCGGCTCTACCACATCACCATACAATTCATGTCACTCGGGTCAATGTCCTTACCTTGCGTTCTAGAGCTCGGCTCTATCACATCACCACGCAAGCCCTAGAGCTCGCCTCTAGCTATTCAATACATAGACTACACGTCTACTCCCTTACCATGCATCCTAGAGCTCGGCTCTATCACATCACCATGCATGAAGGTCCAATTCTTAAGCAACCCTATGCCTAGAATTGACATATCAATGAACTACCATGGGCCATCCTTAAAGACTTCCCACCACTTAACCTTAGTTTCATACTAAGTCATCATAGACACTTGAAGTATATTCAAGTGCACTTCCTACAATCCAATCCCTAGGATCAATTCCATCAACAATTTCCAATAATCACTAACTAGTATTTCAATACTATTAAGATTATTGTTATCATACAAATATGCTCATTATTTGTAATCCTCTACATATTTATAATTATGTAGCAGCAACTTAAGTATTCAATCTCAATACATAAACATTCATTTATGTATCCACATAACTCATGCATGAGTAAAATGCCTATTTCACTAAATAGTTCATTTATAACTCATTTAATCTCATTTTATTCATACATTCTCAAATCATTTCCAATTTCATTCTTTGGCAACTATATCCATATTTCATCATTATATAATCATCATAATCCATAAAAACTATGATTTAGGCATTTAGGTAATCCCATGCTTAACCTACAAGTTGTAACAATTAGATGTCAATCCTCACCTCAATTGAGCTTTAAACTTTCCCTTCTTGGTCCAATGGTCAAAGCTTTGGTCAAGGTGGATTTGGAACTGATTCCTTGCTCAAGTATGAGTGTTAAACAGCCTCTTCAAAGTGCTAGCTCAACCCCTAAACGTTGGTACGAAAACAGCCCCTAGAATGGGTGTTTTCCGGTTAACTCGTTTCCTAGTTTTCCAAGATTTGCTCTAGGTTAGTATCTAACCTTTACATCAATAAAATAACTTTATGGGGACATATTATACACTTTGATTAGTTTACAATAGTTCCACCAATCGTTCATATCATTTGGAAAATGAATGGAAAGGTTTTGGGGTTAACAACTCACTTTAGAAGAGTAGATCCGTTTCTGCGAGGTTGCGTTTTGCTCGGACTATTTGGAAGCCTTCCACTACTCCGATTTATGCAAACCAGACCTTCACGGATTCCTAGTCTTGAGAGCTTTCTTTTGGTATCTCGCACGCCTTATTTGGATTTGTATAACTCGAGATATCAACCAAACAACTTCAGCACTCTCACTGCTCGAGTTTACAGACAGCAGTTCACTCCAGCTCGATTTGTGTATGATAGACTCTCTCCTCTCGAACAGAGACGACTCAAATATGAAACTACACTTCAAGGTCTATCCAAGGACACCTCATACACGTTATTTGGTTGAGTATAGCTCCTATAATGAGAGGAGACAAACATCACACCAATTTGTGCGAAAATAAGGATGGTGGCCCCAAAATTTGATTCCAATTGTGTCATGTGCAGTTCTTCTCCATGTGGTGCGGCCAAGGTGAGTCTTCTCACATATTTTCTTTGTCTTGCAGGTACTCAAGCCACATGGAATGCTCCCCAATTGATCTCAATCAATTTGAGGTCCAAAATGTCTACCAATACTTCCAAAAAAAATGGGAAGATGGGTCCTATTGTTTTATCTTTGTCAAAGATGTCTTTTTGTACTTATCCTAATTTATTTAGAACAAGTCAACTTATTACATCACATTATTGATCTCCAATATGTGTAGGCTCATCACAATAATTTACTTGATGGGTATCATAGAAGGAAAATCCTACTCCCATTATTTAGCCCAATAATGTCAAAGATGGGCTATAGGCATTTGTATTCCTCTCTAATCATTCTATCACTTATTTTGACATTTGTCATACATATTATTGGACTACTATCCGTGTGGGTCACTCCCGATTGGGTCTAGGATGCCATTCTCGAATACTTGCTATTTTTAGCAGGTTGGGCTCAAAATAACGTTTGGGCCGTCCGACCTTACTCGGATTGTCTTGAAAGATTATGTATCACTATTTAGATAATGTTGGGCTCTTTTATTTATTAATAAGACCCAAATAGTATTTGCATGCCCGACACTAATATACGAGTTCGAATAGTACAACAATCGATCATTAATTACGTAAAACATTAATCGTTTTACAATTGTTTGGGAATCAGAAATCCAATACATAAACTTTGAATTTTTAAATCAAATTTTCAAGGACGTTCGGGTGCGGTGTCACAATAATTCACAATTTATTGGTTTAGAACTTTTATCACACTTAGTGTGCATAGAGGTCTATCCCTAGCCTTAGCTAAGAAATTAGTCTCTAATGCTCATATTAATCAACATACAATATTGAAATGTAATGGAACATGAAATTACAAAGGAAATAATACCTAAACACCAATGATTTCGGAGGTTGAAGTTTCCTCCTCAAGAACTTGAAGAACAATAGCAAGAATAAATTATAAAAACTAGGAATTAAAGTATGGAAGGAAATAATTTTGTATGATGAATTGAGGGCTTTATATAGGCTAAAGAATGACATCTTTTGGCCTATTCGAGCCCAACAGTTCGGTATGGATGAAATATTTGATGAAATCATGAAGAAGATGAAGTTTTCCCATAAAAAAAATATGGAGCACGTCGCTGTGTTTTGTGCAGAATCCGACCTAACCGGCGCCAGTTTCAGACCTGACCGGCGCCGGTTCTTCTTTACGAATTGAAATTTCTGGAAAAATGACATACCCGGCGCCGGTTATAAGGGCAACCCGGCGCCGGTTAAGCTACTGGTTTAGGTCAGATCCTTTGTGCGAAAAACATAAGACCGGCGCCGATTTGGTGAAATTCTGGCGACGGTTTTGTCCTGGGATTTTGGGGATGTCCCGCTATGAACTTGGACATGGTTTCTTAACCAAAGTTGTAGATAATGAAGTCTTCTGTCCACCAAAACTTGAATGACGTGTTTCATTCATCCAATCAAAAGATATGGATAAAACACTGAGAGGTATGCATCCTGAAATCCCACCAGCAACATCTGACTTTATTGGTTGATTGAGTCTTGTTCCTTTCATTTTTTTGCCATGACGTCTTCATAACATTTGTACCTTATTGAGTTAATATTCACATGAAGTTCGAATTGAGTGATTTTGAGTTCTCTACAATAAGTTATACTCGAATTATGGGCAGAACATCATCCTCATGGTCCAAAAATATGTTCACCACACTGTTTTATGCTTTAGCTCTCATTCTGAAGATATTTGTCTGATTTCTCTTCTTTTCTTCAACAAATACTTAGAAATACTTATGTTAAACATAAGTAAATATAATGGTTATCATTAAGACTTGAGGTTGACCTTTTAGGATGGAACCCCGAGTCTTAACTGTTCTCTTATCATTGTCAAGGTTAGTTAGTTCATTCCTTTTCCTAATCTTTATTTGTGAATGTTACCCGGCCAACACTCAAAATTCGAAATGATGGGCAGCATTAGGACAACTAGGTAAGGAAGTCTGTGAGTGAGCAAGCGATTGAGATTTTAATGTAGTTCTTCACAAATAAACACACACAGAATGAGTTGCAACGTGCTATGGCTTAACATATACTCCGTACTATTTAAGTTCATTATTCAAAGTGAAACACATGGAAGATGTATTTTTTGGTGGCATTTGTATACAAAAGTGAAAGTGAAATGCATTTGTTTTTCGCAAAAATATTGATTTTAGTTTCAAGTTAATCAAAATGTAATTGGTTTGATTTTTGCTCAATTTCTATGCAGAACATATATTTTTATGCCAGTCATTTAATTTTCATTAATTTCAACTAATAGTTATAGTATTATATTGTACCATTTGTTTACATACAAGTATATCAAAGTAAAAGTTTACAACAAATAAGGATACATGCCAATATTTAAAGTTGGCACATTATTAACTTTTATTGATATTTGGAGAAAAGAGATTTAATTCACATTTTAGTATTTCACCATACCTACAAATGGTTTGAAAAAGAAGATTCTTAAATTTGTTCATAAAAACACCTGTAAATAGATGATAAGAAGTCTCTTGAGCTCTATACAGTATAGTTGTTGTTTGCGTTATAATTTTAATGACTACACATGTCATACAGTAAGGAAAATGGACCATTAATATTATTCAAATTTATAATTTGGATGTAGGCTATTTTGGTCTTGATCAAAGTCTAATAACCCCATCTTATGGCGGTATGTTGAATTATATCTTTTTGTTTGATCAGTGACCAAGATGTAAACGAGAAATGTGATACTCAAAATTTCAAAGTGTCTTTAGGAGAAGTTCCTCTAATGGTCCATTTATGGCGCCTTGGTGGTTGTAGAGGTAAAAGTTCATTTAACACTTGGTTGATATTTTATAGTTGTAAAGAAGATGAAATGCTGGAGATGGTGTGGTTTATTTGATGCTGAAGTGAGTCATGTTTCCACACGTTGAATTGTGTAGCAGAGAGAAAATAGCTGAGTTGGAAATTAAATTTTCTCTTTTACACATGATTTGATATAATGTGTGTTGTGACTCTTGAGATGTTGGAAATTACATTTTCTCTTTTACACAAAAATACCAAAATCTAAATTATTACTCAATACGGAGTATAATTTTGATTCAAGATAATTTTCTCTTTTAAACATGACCCACACAAAAATACTAATTTTGTCATGCAATTATTACTTTGGAAAAAGTAAAAATGAATACTCATGTATGTTTCAAGAATTATTTTACTATGCCACTTTCTAAAGCGTGCTATAATTTGTACTGATGGGAGTGTGATTTCGAAAAATAATTGACCTTGATAAGTAAAGGGAAAACTGTCAGATTAGCCCTCGTAGTATATGAAAAAAATCAATTAGACCCTTGAACTAAGAAAACACTCAATTAAGTCCCCCAACTTCAGAAAAACACCCAATTACACCCTTTTCTCATATGAAGGTCCGGTTATCCGGTTGTATGTATGATGTGACAATCCACTTATTTTTTAATTTCTTTTTCTTTTTCTTTTCTTGTTTTACCATTCCTTCCTCTTTCCTCCTGCAACGTTCTTCTTCCGCCTTCTTCTGCTTGTTCTTCAATTCATTTCTTCATTTCCTTTCTTCCCTTCTTTTCTCTTATTCCTTCCTTTCTCTGAGTCTGAAAATTTGTCAACTAAGGATGAGCTTTGTGCACCAAAGGTGTAGAACACGAAAGCCAAAATGTCAACTTGTCCGCCAAGGATGGCAGCACGACGACGCCGTACGTGTGGAATTGAAGATGTTCACCGGATTTTTGAGCTCTTCGACCAATACACCATCCAAGCAAGAGGAGTAGAAGATGTATGCTGGAATTTAGTGCTTGTTAGTCAAGCTGCCATCGTTGCCGGCGGTGTACAAGACGTACGCCGAAATTTGAGGTCACTCTCGCCGTTGTTGTCCGCCTTATTGAGCTAATCCTCTTCGTCTCCGATGAAGATCGGAAGTTCGGCACCAATGACGCTCAGCAGGAAGGTGAATATCTCCTCCGCCTAAACCACCCTCTTCACGTAATCTTTGCCGGAGTTCGTCATTTGAAGAAGAATGAAAATTACGGAGTATGAAACACAATGGTCAATGGAGTACAAGAAGAAAGAAAAGGGAAATAGAATATGCTATTTTTCAAAATAGATTATATGTTTGGTATACATCATTTATTGCCCTCGTCTCGAGTAGAATATGCCACAAATAAAAACTATAGTTCTATTAATTAATAATTTTAGGGAAATAAAATTAATCCCTAAAATTTGAAAGTAAATAATCCGTTTTAGGGAATAAAAATATAGTTCTATGTTGAAATTCCAAATATTTTTACTCACATTTCAATTTTGTTCCTTTACTTAAATTATCACTTTATTTATTTCTATTAATTTTTCATACACCCGGTATATATTGTGGGTAGATTCTATGGTATCCATAAGGTATCATAGCTTTGTTCACATGGATCAATCAGAATGTTTCAGTTGAATTATTTAAGCGTAAATTAAAAATGATATACCTATTTGGACCAATCAAATGAGTAATAGGTACGATACCTCATTTTTTAAATGAGTACCGGAGTTCTCACCTGTATTGTGGGCCCCAAAAGTAGAACACGGAAACCCAGAAGCCGCCCAGCCTGTCTGGCGGCCACCTCAGTACCTGCTTTTCCACAGCGCACTTTGGTCTTTGAACGAAAGCAAAACTTGAGCGGAGACTCTCGGTCCTCCTTATTTCAGCTCTTCTCGAACTTCTTTAGAAGGAAAATCCGGAGAACAGCTTACTCTACTGTCTACACGCTAGGTGTTTGTCATTTGGCCAATGCTAGCCCTTTCGGTACCCAATTTTTGCTTCCTTCATTTCGCCTTAGTTCTGTGCTTCTCAGCTCTGGTTTTAGCCGGAGACCCTTATGTTTTTTACGACTGGACTGTCTCCTACGTCGCAGCTTCTCCTCTCGGCGTTAAGCAAAAGGTTGCTCCTTTTTCCTTTTCTCTTTCAGTTCTGTGTAGTTATCAGATCTTTAATTTAACTTCTATTAAGTAAACTAGCGTTGTTCTTAACAAGATTTGAACTTCATAGGCATACTTTAAAGTTATGTTGCTCAGTGGGATGGTTATTCGGATTACCCGACCCGAACCCTTAATTCAATTCTGGTATGAGAAAACCAGTACAGGGTTCGGTTGTAGTGTATTAGTGTGAGTGCCTGATCTAGCCCATAAACTGTTCGAATTGCTCCAGCACCAACTTTTTTTCTAACAACAAAATTCTCGTGAATAAAGTTAAAAGAAAGAATACTACATAAATAAAGTACATTATATTATTCCGCTAATTTTGTACATGAATACCCTTGAACAAAATGTTTCCTCCACTGATTAGTGTCATAATTTGATGTGTGTGTGCGCGTAAGAAGTGCCCAAGTGAGGTTCGGGGTAGTATCACAAGAAGTTGGGAATGGGTACCGAACCCGTACGTGTAATGTGTGCTTAACATGGCCCCTTTCCTCTAGTACAATCTTTTTTTAAAAACCCAAGCAGTTCCAATAGTTCAATGCATTCTCATATATCTGATGATGACTATTGATCAAAATCTTTGAGGTGCAAGTTCATTGAAATTAATCTTTTTTAGGTAATTGGGGTGAATGGGCAGTTCCCTGGACCCATTCTGAATGTCACTACCAACTGGAATGTTGTTGTGAACGTCAAAAACAATCTCGATGAGCCTCTGCTTCTCACATGGTATAACAACTTGGTTCAAGTAAATATAGGCTGTTATAATAATCACAACAAGCCATAACTCCATAAGTATACTGAGCGGTCATCAACCATATATAGGAATGGTATACAGCAGAGGAGGAGCTCTTGGCAAGATGGTGTCTCTGGCACGAATTGCCCCATTCCTGCTGGATGGAATTGGACTTACCAGTTCCAAGTCAAGGACCAGATTGGTAGTTTCTTCTATTTCCCTTCATTGAATTTTCAAAGAGCAGCAGGTGGTTATGGGGGCATCATTATAAACAATAGAGACGTTATCTCCTTACCATTCGTGTTGCCAGATGGAGATATCACCTTATTCATTAGTGATTGGTACATTAAAGGCCATAAGGTCCGTTACGTCCGTATACGTATAGGTTTTGAAGTAGAAGTCTTCTCTCCCCATTGTTGAATAATAAACTTTGCATGACAGGAAATGAGAAAAGATCTTGAAAATGGTGCCCAGCTTGGATCACCTGATGGTGTGCTGTTTAATGGGTTCGGTCCGTACTCGTATGATAATGGGTTGGTACCTGGGGGTATTCGTTATCTTATGGTCAATGTTGAGCCAGGTAACTTCGCCATCTGCATTGATACTAATCAGGGGTATCACCTCTCTGCCATAAAGAGGATGATGTTTAAACTTACTGGGGAATCTTTTTCCACTGTGTGGTATACTTTGACATAATCAAGGAGTAACTTGTGTGATGACAAAAGTGCCCTTTTGAATGATGGAATAAAGACCAAATACGTAAGATCATATGTTATTTGTTTCATCATCACTCAAAGTTGCACTGGTATCCTTATACAAGTCATTCCTTGATAATTTTGAAGTTACTCCAAACACCTGATATTTTTTTGCAGTATGTGTGAAGTGTTTCCTTGGGGGGCATTTACAGGTAAAACATACCGCTTGCGGGTACACAATGTGGGGACATCTACCAGCCTAAATTTCAGAATCCAAAACCATAATTTACTTCTTATTGAGACCGAAGGATCATACACAGTGCAACAGAACTATACGAGCATGGATATCCATGTCGGTCAATCATACTCATTTTTGGTCACGATGGATCAAAACCCTATCAGTGATTATTACATACTTGCCACTCCACGCTTTGTAAACTCATCTATTTGGACGAAGTCCGTGGGAGTTGCCATATTACACTACTCAAACTCTCAAGGGCCTGCCGCTGGTCCACTTCCCGACCTGCTAGGGGAAAACGACAAGTATTTCTCAATGATGCAAGCGAGGTCCGTGAGATGGAATGTATCAGCTAGTGCAGCCCGCCCTAATCCACAAGGCTCCTTCAAATATGGGGAGATCACCGTTACTGATGTTTATGTCATTGTAAATCGGCCCACAGAGGTTATAGATGGGAAGCGGCGCACTACACTTAATGGGATTTCATACTCGGCTCCTACAACCCCTTTGAAGCTTGCAGAGCAATTCAATGTCTTGGGTGTTTTCAAGCTTGATTTTCCGAATAGATTCATGGACCGACCTGCTAAAGTTGATACGTCTGTGATTAATGGTAGTTACAAGGCGTTTGTGGAAATCATATTCCAAAACAATGACACAACCGTTCAAAGCTACCATCTCGATGGTTATGCCTTTTTTGTTGTTGGGTACGTTTTACAAGAATTGACTAATTTTTAAGCTTCATGAAACAAGCCAAAATAATTAAGAACCTGTTTGGTAAGATGGGAATTGCTCAAATTATACTTGGTGCTGATGAAATCGCTGAATTAATTAAAAAACTTTTATTGATCGATTAAATAAATGATTAAAAAATCTTATATTAAAAAACATTAATAAGAAACATATGCAAGAGCCTTGCAGATTGTCTACAACATCTGCAAATGAATATCTCATAACTTATTTTTTTAATTATTAAGAACTCGCAATTCAGTACATGCACACACAGAAATCAGGACCCCGTATTTGGTGAAAATTCTGAAGTGTAAACTTGAAAAAGTATTAGGTATATTATTATAAGGAATATTATATACTAAGTAATTTCCCTTTTCCTTATCATATTCCTGAGTTCCAATTATACTTTTAATAATTTTTTTTATTGTGTATACTCATGTAGTCATGTGTTGTAAGTAAATACGCATCTTCTCTACTAAGTTTTATGTCTTGTTTGAATGGCAGGATGGATTATGGTTTGTGGAACGAAAATAGCAGAAGCACATACAATAAATGGGATGGCGTGGCTCGATGCACTACCCAGGTTATCTTTTGAAGCTATCCATCTGCTTAAGAAGATAATGACTTATTTGAACTATGGTGTGATGATAATATTTTCTGAAAGATTGATGATTTTCTATTTGATGTGTGAATGTAGGTGTTCCCAGGAGCTTGGACAGCTGTATTAGTGTTTCTAGACAATGCTGGTATCTGGAATTTACGTGCACAGAATCTTGACTCCTGGTATCTTGGCCAAGAAGTTTATGTTAGTGTTGTGAATCCGGAAATCACGGACAAAACTGAGCTTCCTTTGCCAGACAATACAATTTATTGTGGTTTGCTATCATCACTACAGAGGTGAGTACCTTTCAATTTATTTTTTGATATAGTGATAAGCTCAAACAAAGTGTTTTAATCTGGTGAACTCCGAACAAGCACAAACTTCAACATTGATCAACCTGCTTTTCTTGTTTGCAGAGACCAAGCAAGGAGAATAAATTTCTCCAAGGGTGCACCAACATTTCCAAGAACAGTGAAAACCGTGGTAATTGCGATTGTTGCATCAATAATTGAAACTTTGTTACTGAGGTGGTGAACATACAAACAAACTGTCTTGATTGTTGGAGCACGAACCAAAGGATCGTCTAACTTGTTTTTGGGTTTTGTATATTCTGAATCTGTGAGAAATATATCCCAGATTTTGTGATTCACCATTGTACATTAGTCATGCCAGTGTTGATGAATAATGCTGTACCAGTTTTGTATATCCCAGTTACGCAGAATGCACCACAGGATTATTAAAACTTAAGAAAATGTTATATTACATAGTTGAATTTGCGTTTATCTTGTTTGGTGCTTTGGTTCACTAACTTTTTTTTTGGGATAACCTGTAAGGCTGTAAATATATTAAACTATTGGGGTTAATGCATAGAATCCCTTTGTGATATCATTAATAGGTGTGTTACCTATCTGTGTTTTGAAAAATGCATGGAATCCCTTTGTCTTGTGATAATGTAGCAACAAACCCCTCAAAATAGAGCACTTACCCGTAGTGCCTTACACGCGCCTGAAGTGTAAAGATCTATCTTGTTGTTTGTCATTTCAGCATTCAAATGACTATTTTTCCATTTTTATATTTATAAAAATTACCTCTATAATACTCCCTATCAAATGTTGGCATCATATATATTAAATATTTAATACGTAATATGTTTATGCTATATTGACGTGTTTAGTAAATAGTAACCCTTGTCTTCGAGTTATCAATTTTATGTGTCAGTTCGCGTGCTGAATTGTGTAATAATCAAAATAAGTAAGGTTGAAGTTACTTCTCTGACATAATTGCATGAAGTTACTACAGAAGACAATTTTAACTATTTTTCATATAAATTTTACTTTATTAGTAGAATATATTGCTATTTTTTCCCACAATTTATAAAATTCGTCCAATTCAATCGTTTTAGCCAGAAATGAACCATTTTAGCGAAATCAACAAATTCAACCAATTACAGTGTTAACAAATGAGTCATAATTAAAAATTAATTATTTTACCTTTATATATATACGTTACATTAGAAATTAAAGTTTAAACGTATTTTTACATTTCACTCCTTAAACGCAGTCTTATGGAATAACTCTCAAGCTATAAATTTTTTGTGCAATCAATCATTTAAACTTTTCTCATATGCAACCAACTTTGCACTTAATTGAAATCAAAACTATAATACACATAATTCAAAATAAAAAATTTGTTTTGAATTACACAATTTTATCCGCATAATTACGTTTGGCCGGATTAACTGCAGTCGCATGATTATGGCGTTGGTGATTTATTTTAATGTTATGTATTTTAAAATAGAGGCAAACTAACCGAGAATAGAAAGTGATTAATTATATATATCAATAATACTCTATAAAAGAGTTGTTATTCTCCACTTGAGAATTGCAATTTACAAGATGACTAGATAAGGAGAAGGCTTTTGTTTATAGGACAAAATTTAAGCTCCTTTATATTAGAAGATAATTACATGAACCACAACATTATCATCTTGAAATCATAATTATGATTTCCTTGTTATTTTAATAATGATAATAATAACAATTTCCTAATCATGAATAGTAAAATATGACTAATTGACTTATTTTTAACACTACTTGAATAATGTTAAAATCACACACCAGAAAATTTGGAAGTAATAAAGTGTTATATTAAGACATGAATTGCTTCTTCTATTAGGTCGATTTTTTAGGATGAAATCACAAATCTTAACAAATAATCATCTTGTAGTTATTCATGAATATTAATTGTCTCATTAAATTCCTTATTATGAAAAATCATGATGGGATGAAAACCATAATGAAGCAAAAACGGAATACAACATATAATCCCATAGTAAAATAATGTACTCGTGCTATTTAAACTATTTAAAAAATTTGTCGTGAAAAACCTATTCGTATAAAAAGTTAAAAACTTGAATGGAAAAACATAGTCCTGCACATTTTTTTGATAAAACTGAATGAATGCATAAAAATTAATAGCTACTGAAAATTGATAAAAGTAATTTTCATATATAGGTGGAGATGGAAAATTTCATTTCAAAAGTTGAAAGGGAAAAGGTGCAAATAGGCCCATGTACTAACCAAAAAAGGTCAGATAAGCCTGATGGATAGTCTACCCGGGGGTATCTTATCCGAGGGGTTATTGCGGGAATAACTAGAGAGAAGTCAGAGTAAATAGGAGGAGAGAGAGTTGATTTTATTAAATGAACTCGAGATGTGGAGTTGAGATGCAGATGATGATTTACAAGGAGAAATGGACTGCTATTTATAGCAGCAATAAATGCGATGAGGGGACACGTGTCAGTAATCCAACGGCCGAAGGGTCACATCAGCTGGTTGGCACCGGCAGTGGTACGTTCACCGCATTGAATGCGGTTGGCGGATGTGACGTGGCATTAAATGCGGTGGTTGGCTGTCTCCAAAAGGAATCTTCGATGATTGAGCTAGTTCAGCCGAAGGCTCCTTGTGTAGCCGAGGGCTCCTTGCGTAGCCGAGGGCTTCATGTATGGCCGTAGGCTCAATGTGTAGTCGAAGGCTTGGATCAGCCGAGGGCTTCCCCTGGTGCCGAGGGCATGAGAATGCCGAAGGCTCACGTCTTTGCCCGTTTTCTTCCAGCAGCTCCTTATGCCAGAGAAGGCTATCCTGTGAGTTTTGGAGCCTTCGGCCAAGGAGGCCGAAGGCACCCAGTGTGTATTCTGGGCTACTTTGAGGCTTGGGCCGTTGTATTCTGGGCCTGAGTTGTTCTCTGGGCTCAATGGACTTGTGTAGGAGAAGTAGGAGTCTATGGGCCGGGGGTTCCTGGGCCATATACTCCATCAGGAGTCCCTCACTCCTTTTGCCGAAAGGTACTTGAGGGAAAAGGAGTAGATGTGTTGCTTCTTCTGGAGGCTTCATCATTTCGCTGGGTGCTTTCGCTGGAGAACTTGTCTTCTGCTGATTGCCGAAGGCTTCCCTCAGTCCCTCACATGTCGAGGGTTTTCTGAGGGAAGGTATTCGGAACCTTCGCATGTTTACCGGGGGCTTCCCTCAGTCCCTCACATGTCGAGGGCTTTCTGAGGGCAGTATAACACCTGTATGACTGCAGAAGGCTTTCCTCAGTCCCTCACTTGTCGAGGGTTTTCTGGGGAAAGCATAGGTGTATTGCCTGCATGTGTTGTGATGAGAGCTGCTTCATTTTCGCAAGTGACTTGGGAAAAAATTTTGATACTCTACCTCTTCCGAAGGGGGTGTTGAAGTATGTACCCGAGGGGTGTATCCCAGTCCCCCACTCCTTTAGGCCGAAGGCGAGTTCGGGCTGAAGGAGTTATGATGAGTTGATGAGCCACCGAGGGGTGGTAACATTGATAAGCCGAAGGCTTATGCTGCTACGGGCTCGAGGGCGTTTTGGTGGACTTCGTCGCCCAAAGGCTGCGGTGAGTGATAACCGGAGGCTTATATTGCAGTTTGCCTGAGGGTGCTTGGTGATATGTGTTCACCGAAGGCTTCATTAGTAATAGCCGGAGGCTATCGTCAGAGGTCGCCTCAAGAGGTTCTAAAATAGAGCCGTTGTGACATAGCCGTTGGAGGTGGGAGCCACGTGGCGTGTTCTCGTTGGCCGACGGGGGGCGGGTGCCATCCATTGGCTGAACCGGCGGCCCGTAATGATGGCCTTTTTAAATCGAGGCCCAGTTCTCGAGGCTGAAAGCCTATATATACCCCAACTCCGAACTCATTTGGTTTGTGCGTTTTGTTGTGAAGTGAAGCTCTGCCGAATTTTCTAGAGAGAGAAACTCCAAACTTCGATCAAACCTTAAGCTTTGAGGTTAGTTCTTCACCTGTTCTTTTCCTCGCAGCATAGTTTGCTATTGTGTCCTTAGATCTAGTGTTTAGGGAGACTTTAGGACCCTCGGTTAGGAACCCTCCCCTTATTCACAACTATGTCCTCCGCGAGCGATTCCCAAAATATCTCGGAGGAGGCTCCGGCACAATCCGAGAGCTATTCGGATGTGGAGCCGTCGAGCGGGCAAGCCTCCTCCAACAATGACTCGGAAGTGGCGAGGGAGGTGCAGAGCAACCTTCGTACTGAGGCCGAAGCTGAAGACTTCGAGCAGGTGGCGGAGGATGAGGAGATGGCCCTCGCTCTCCAGGTAGCAGAAGAAGAAGAGGAGAAGGAACGCCTTCGGGTGACGGTTGCTGTTCTACCCTTGCGCGGTGCTGGCGAGGCAAGCACCTCCCGACCATTGGACCCTGATCCGCTGAGCGTGGCCCCGGGAAAAAGGAAGAAGAAGTTGAAGGTTGCTCCCAAGAAGAAGCAAGCGGCCATCGACGTTGGTCGCCCCGTCGGGATCCCCGAGGGGCACTCGTATTTGGACACTACTGCCCTTGAGGTGAAAACCACGGCCTCGGGTGCTGATTATCAGGCTCTCCAAGTCCTCGTGGGGCCCTCGGCGCAGGTCGTGGAGCCGGGGACTGAAGATCTGCTCTCTCACCCCCCGGAGGGGTGTTTCTCTGTTCACATGCTGTCGATGGAGTTGGGTCTTAGGTTCCCACTCCACCCTTTCGTCTTGGAGTACCTGAGGTTTGTGAAGCTAGCCCCCTGCCAGCTAACTCCCAACAGCCACTATTACTTGGCGGGGTTCTTATCTCTCTGCCAGAGCCGGAAGGTGGAGGCTACGTTAGATCAATTTTTCCTCTCCTTTAATCTGTGCCGCGGTGGACATTCCCACGCCGGGGGATATGCCAATTTGCAACAGGTGCCGGCTTGGAAGCTATTCTCCGAGACCCCCTCATCGCACAAGGAGTGGAAGGAAAAATTTTGTTATATCCGGATGGCTGATAACCCATTCCCGGGGGCCCTGCGCAATCACTTCCGTAGGCATCCGAAGGTGGGCAGCGCGGCACTGCAGAAGGCTGGTAAGAAACTCACCGAGAAGCCTGAGGGCTCTGATAAGGTGATCGCTATCAAGGCGGCGACGCTTTCAGAGGATCTTTACCTGCTGGGCTTTAGGCGGTATCGCCTCCCGGGGGATGAAGATGAGAAATATCCTGAGATCGACCGGGGGTATCAAAACGCCGGAGGTTGTAGCCGAGGGCTCCTGTTTTTTTTTGTACTTAGAATATTTCTCCTTGATTAGCTCTGATTCTAACCCTTCCTTGTCTTTTGCAGGTGATATTATGGACGTGCAAGCCTTCGCTCGGTTGTCCAAAAAACTGGCCAAGGTGCCGAAGAGGAAGAAGGAGGAGGGGCCCTCGGCGAATCAACCCCTCGTCGATGAAGTCTTGAAGAAGGCTGGGGCTTCTAAGACTCTGGAAGATAAGGAGTCCACCAAGGAGGTTCCTTCTGCTGATGCCGGTGCTGGTGCCGGGGGTTCCCAAGTTGGGGAGCTTAAGAGAAAGAATGCCGGGAAGGGCTCCAAGCCTCCGGTAACTA